GTCGTGGCTGCTCTCCTCAAGTACTCTCCTCTTGATGGATGCGTCCTCTTCCCCTCTCTGCACCTGGTGAGTGAGAATGAGTCAGTCTCGTCGTTACTTCCTAAGGTTTTCGCTCTAAAAAACTCCTTACTAAACACATTATTAGGGTTCTCGACTTAGACAAAAGCAGTTCTCGCTTTCATCCTTTATACTTTATTATCAAACAGTTCATAAGAGATCTCTACTCGTATCTTATCTTTAGAATTTCTTTACTTATATTTTTAATCCATTGACACTAACACTAGGGGCCACCGTGTTACGTCACGTCGTCCGGTGTCCCAACCCTAGTATGCCAACCGCGTTACGTCTCGCCGTCCGGTTGCATACCCAAACTCGGCAATGGCACTACATTAAGTCTCGGCGTCCAGTAGTGACCCAACCGCCCGGGGGTTCCGCTTACCATTAATCAACCATTACAATCATACATCCAAACATTCATACATAGCACAACGCGTGCCTCCACCCTTAAGTAGGAGGTGGGATGCCTCACACACATATCGCGCATTACTCAAAAATTAACTAAATAATAACCTGAATGAAAAGCATAAACTAAAAGATCTAAGACAGAGATTTTACCCCCTTTACACTCACCTCGAAAAGATGACTCCTCGATTCCTTCCTCGAAGAAACCCCTCCTTAGCCGGATTGTCTTGGGGCAACCTATTAATAAGAATCCATTTTCTTAGACTACCTTTCTTGATTTAAAACCCCTTTTGAATGACTAGAACATCCTCTTCTCAAACTCCAGTCCTCGAGCCTCATTCCAAAATCCCTTAACCCCATTTAAATTTTTCTAGAAATAATGCCTTCAAAACGACCATTTTTCTTAATTATTTTTATCTTATACGAATTTTTCACCTAACTTGAACCTTCTTAAAATTTTGGATAATAATTTTTCCATGTCAATCATGAGCACCTATACCCGGGAAAATTATCAAACCCTTAAAACCCTTTCGGAAAGATTTTTATTTAATTAATAATAATATTTGAGAAATTTCTAAAAATATAAATACATCTTCAAAAACCCCCCAAATTAAATTACAGCCATCTCCTAGACCTCCCTCAATTTATAAATTTATTAAACCCAGGAATAAACATCCACATAGACTCGAAAGAATTAAAATATCCAAAAATACGTTTCTGGAAATTCCTGCAGCTATAGTGACCACCCATAATCTATCACTAAAAGCCTGCAACGCAGTTGCTAAAAACCCAGAATTGGACCCTCACGAAAAATCTCCAAATCGATCGATCTAACTCAAAGGGATCGAGTTCTCTTACCTTTAGAACGTGCCTAGGACTAGATTGGATGGCCAGGGACGTTGATCTCCTCGTTATCGATGTTCGAACCCTCAAATGTCACCGCAAACGCTAGATACACGAGGGGATGGAGTCGCTAATCGGGAAGTCGGGAACAAGATCCAAAGAAGGAAGGCGACGGTGGAGCGACTCCCTTTTTCTTTTCTTTCTTGCTTTTTCTTCTTTCTCTTTTCTTCTTCTCCCTCTCTGCTGCGATGGTTGGGAAAAAGAATAAAAGAGGGGGGAGGAAGGGTTTTGGGGATGGGAAAGGGTTGGCCGCCCCGCCTTCCTATGGCCATTTTTTTAATAATATAATAATAATAATAGTTATTATTATTATTCTTAATCCGCGGTTGTAACTCTTAGTACGTAACTATTTAACTAACCGCTCATTTAATATGGTCGAACCCAAATCTAAAATACCGGGGTGTTACATAGGGTTTACAAACACCCAAGTGAAAGAAGAGACTACTCCATACTAGGAGAAGGGAAAACACAAGAGAGGGAAAGGAAAACCATCAAGAAGATGAAAGCCTTGCTCCTTGTGTTGAAGAGATCCTCCTTTGGGAGAGGAATTCTCAAATCCTTGCTTGGAGATGAAACCCTAACTTCTCCTCTTCTTTGGTTCGTCACTTTCTCACTCTAAATCTGAAGAAGAAGAAGTTTCTCACACTAGGTCTACCCTTTTTCTTCTCCCTTTCAGTCGGCTCTTTAAACTAAGATCGAGCCTAGTTCATGGCCGTGAATATCGAAAAGCGTCAGTGAACACTAAGTCTGAACCAAAACGCATCGCTTCACATCCTGGGGTTCACGATCTGTGGCTTCTATTCAAGGTCTTAGCAACTGTGAACAACCTTGGCGTTAGTAACCTCAAAACCTTCTCTGGGTGCCTCTTGGTTCACGAAATATGGCTCCGGTTCGCGGTTTTGTAAGAGCGTGAACTCCCATGACAGACTATGTACTGCGGCTATCTAGTGTCTACAACTTCCATCCCCACCAAGTTGATCTATAGCATTGGAGACTAGGTCATCAAAGTAGTGATAGGCAAACTTTGTTGAACAAACTAGATTCTTTTGTTTCCATTTCTAAGTCGGATCACTGTAATGTCTGTCATCTTTCTAAACACAAGTGACAACCATTTTCTATTAGCACCAGTACTGCAACAGAACCCTTTCAGTTAATACACATTGACATTTGGGGTCCTTTATCAGTTGTTTCCTATGATGGTTATGTCTATTTTTTAACTGTGGTTGATGATTGCACACGAGCAGTGTGGGTTTACCTTATGAAACACAAAAGTGAAGCCAGAGATTTGTTTAAAGGCTTCTGTTAATTGGTTAAAAATCAGTTTGGCACCACTGTCAAAACAGTAAGAAGTGATCAAGGCAGGGAATTCGATATATGTGATTTTTACATGGCTGAAGGAATAGAGCACCAGATGTCATGTGTTTATACCCCATAGCAGAATGCTAGGGTAGAAAGGAAGCATCAACACATTTTAAATGTGGCTAGATCCATCAGGTTTTAGTCTGGCATTCCACTATTGTACTGGAGTGACTGTATTCTTCATGCAGTCTATCTTAATAATAGGATCTCTATACCAATCTTATACAACAAGTCACCATATGAGGTCCTTTATAAGAAAGCCCCATTCTTAGGCCATTTAAGGGTCTTTGGTTGTTTGGTGTATGCTAGTACAATAGCAGCAGGGAGATCTAAATTTTATCCTAGAGCTAGACAGTGTGTACTATTTAGCATCCCATCTGGTTTTAAGGGATACAAGTTACTTGATCTTAAAGATAACCAAGTTTTCACATCTAGGGATGTGGTGTTTCATGAGTCTATCCTCCCTTTCAGACATGATTCCTACACTTCTGTTACTTTGATCCTTCCACATCTATTCAAATTCCACTTCCAACTTCCCATCCTCCAATTAATGCTCCTGGTCTAACCCTTTCACCTTCTTCCTCTACCTTTTCATCACCTGTATCACCCTCTGCTGATGGGGGCCAACCTATACCTTCTGCATAAGAAAAACCTGAAGCTGAGTTTGTTAGTGATGACACTGAAACTAGAGCACCTTACACACCTTATAGTCCTCAGGACTTTGAGATGGAAGCAGAGTTAGAACCACAACCGGACTTTGAACCATCAAAGAGACCACAAAGGACTCATAAGTTACCTGCTAAGTTCGATAATTGTGAATTGGATCCTGATGTGAGCTTTGGGGATTTTGGTTCCTGTGCAGCAGTGTCTAAATATCCTATTGATATGGACTTAGATCACTTGAATGCTGCTGACAAGGCCTTTGCATTGAGTGTTATCTCACAGATTGAGCCAACTACCTATTATGAGGCGATGCAATCAGATGTGTGGAACATGGCTGTACTAGAAGAGCTTGCGGCCTTAGAGCAGAACCAAACATGGGATGTTGTGAAGTTGCTAGATGGAAAGAAAGCCATTGGCTATAAGTGAGTTTTGAAAATCAAAAGAAGAGCAGATGGCTCTATAGAAAGGTTTAAAGCTAGGCTGGTGGCAAAAGGATACACTCAGGTCTATGGAATTGACTTCCTATACACCTTTTCCCCAGTAGCTAAGATAAACTTAGTGAAAGCTCTACTAGCAGCGACATCAATTAAAAATTGGACATAGAGCAGTTAGATGTTTCAAATGCTTTTCTTCATGGAGATTTAGAAGAAGAGGTATATATGAAGATACCTATGGGACTTGATCTACAGGGTATTGATCCAAAAGGAATGGCTTGTAAGCTTAAGAAATCACTGTATGGGCTCAAACAGGCATCAAGGCAGTGTTTGCAAAATTAACTGGTTTTCTGATGAAGAATGAATTTGCTCAATCAACTTCATATTACTCTCTATTCACTAAGTGGGTGCATGGCAGAATTGTGATACTATTGGTGTATGTTGATGATACCATCCTAGGAGGAGATGCACCAAAGGATATAGAGCAAATCAAGAAAGCATTGAGTAAAGAGTTCAAGATAAAACTGCTAGGACCTCTACAATATTTCCTTGGAATGAAAGTAAACAGGACTGCAGATGAGATTAGTGTTTGCCAGAGGAAGTATGCCTTGGAGCTGCTAAAAGACACTGGATACTTGGAAGCAAAGGGATGCATCACACCTTCAGACCCTAAGGTAAAACTAGCAGCAAACCAAGGGACTACTCTGGAAGATGTAGAAGTTTACAAAAGGCTGATTGGAAGGTTGCACTATGTGACAATCACCAGACCTGATTTAACATACATAGTGCAACAGTTATGCCAATTTCAGAAATAGCCTTATAGTGATCATTTACAAGCAACCTTCAGGGTACTAAGGTACTTGAAGAACAATCCTAGACAAGGGATACATTTTAGCAGTAAAGCAGATTTAACCCTTGCTAGGTTTTCTCTTACTGGTGGCGCAGTCGTTTCTGTCTGGTTCCGGCGAAGGAGAAGAAAAGGGGAAGGAGATTGTGGCGGAGAAGGATAAGGGCTATCTGCCTATCTGGACTTTGGGCAAATCTGACTAGCTTAAGCACTCCAGTAAAGGTGAAAAATTGGTTGCCAACCAGTAGGACGGGCCGAAATTTGGGCTGGGCTGAGCTACTTATATAAACGAGTCGTCGTACTGTCCACTGTCCACAAGCCCGGCCCTAAATGTGGACATAGCCCAGATACGAGGAGGACGCTCTAGGTTTATATTTAAAACCACTCTGATAAAACCCTAGCATCTCCTTTCTCTTCTCCTCCAGGCCGCCCTACTAGCCATTGGAGCTACAGAAATTCTCTGCAGTCGAGATCAGAGGTAAGCGATAATCTCCTCCCGGTTTAATGTTCCTTTCCCTTGCCATTGTCTAGCTGTTACGGATTTTTGTTAAAGGTTGCCGATTCCACTTGTTCTTCATCGTCCTCATTTACTAGTGTGCTTAAAGATTTTGTTTTTTCTGGATCTAGACTATGCGTTGCGAATGCAATACCCTCTTTTTTGTTGGCTTGATTCTGGTTTTGTTCTCTGAGCTTCATTTTCTGCTTTACTGTTTGTTCTCTTAAGCTTTACTGCGATACTGTCAATGGTCTTCTGGTGTTTGATATTCTGGATTTGTTTGTTTCTTGCTTTCTGGCGAGGTAGTAGAGATGGCAGAAGAAGCTAAAGTAGCTGCTATTGTTCCCGAGTCTGTTTTGAAGAAGAGGAAGAGAAATGACGAGTGGGCTTTGGCCAAGACCCAGGCAACAGCGGCACAGAAGAAGAAGAGTGCCGAGAACAGGAAGATCATCTTCAAAAGGGCTGAGCAATATGCCAAGGAGTATAAGGACCAGGTTTGCATCTCCAACCTATGCTGCTTAGTTGTTTTTCAATTTAGTTTCGGTATCAGTTTGGTCACACTATTGGTAGAATTATTGGTTGCTGCGATTTGATCCTCTCTGTCTCATACAGGAGAGGGAGTTGATCAGGTTGAAGAGAGAGGCCAAACTTAAGGGTGGCTTTTATGTCAGCCCAGAGGCCAAGCTGTTATTCATTGTCCGCATTCGTGGGTATGACTCGAATTTTGCTCTTCTACTGTGGTTATTTACCCTGTTTTGATACAAGGTTTCTGCAAAGTGGCTGTTTCTTGACTTAAAATCCCATTGTCTGTTGATAGTATTAATGCCATGGACCCAAAGACTAGGAAGATTTTGCAGCTGTTCCGTCTGAGACAGGTAATTTCTTAATTTGCCTGTGATGTTCATTCTTAGTCTTTACTGTTTTAATTTGAGTCTTGAACCTTAATTATCTTGTGTAGATCTTCAATGGCGTGTTCCTCAAGGTCAACAAGGCTACTGTGAACATGCTCAGGAGAGTTGAGCCCTATGTGACTTATGGGTATGGGTTGTTGTCTATGTACTAGAACCTGTTTATCAAGCTCCTATTTTTTCCGAGTTTCGTATGTGTTGGTGGCTCCACCTGATTCTATTGTAATGTCTATCAGATACCCTAATCTTAAATCTGTCAAGGAGTTGATTTTCTATTGTAATGTCTATCAGATACCCTAATCTTAAATCTGTGAAGGAGTTGATTTACAAGAGGGGGTTTGGCAAGCTAGACAAACAGAGAATTCCCTTGACCGACAATGCCATTGTTGAACAGGTATGTAACCTTTATGAGCAATCTGTTGTACATTTATATCGTCTCTGTTTAGTTTATAAGTACAATAGTCAATGATCTGTTCCTAAACGTTTGGCAGGGTCTTGGAAAGTTTGGCATCATCTGTGTGGAAGATCTCATTCACGAGATCATGACTGTTGGCCCTCATTTCAAGGAGGCCAACAACTTCCTGTGGCCATTCAAGCTTAGCGCTCCATTGGGCGGGTTGAAGAAGAAGAGGAACCACTATGTGGAAGGTGGTGATGCTGGAAACCGTGAGGATTATATCAATGAGCTCATCAGGAGGATGAACTAGACGTTTCTCCTTTTTATTCTATTTTTATTTTCAAGCTTTAGAGGTTGCACAACTTTTGACTAAGCCATAGCTCCTGGGATGTTATGTTATCAATCTTTTCTGGATCATTGGATATTATGTTACCAAGCGTTTTCTGGTCTCTATGTTCCGAATTTATATTTGTAGTTGCAAGAGTAATGTTTGCTCTAGTTTTGTGAGAATCGAATCACCATTCTTGGTATCAATATCATATCAGTTCAGTTAAAGCTTTACTTGTCCGCCTTGACCACTGCTTGAAATGTGGAAGGCTGATTTGGTAATAGGACTTGCCGTGGGTTGGGAATTATAGTAGGTAATTTGTCCTTATCGACCTAAAACCCTCTATCCTTTTCAGTCCGTTAATAGCCTTCAATGAAAACCAACTTTGCTGAGACCAGTTGGGGAACTGAGGCTTGGGATAGGGTGAGTAACCCTTTGTTACTCACCCGTGAGTAACCACCTAGGGACCGTCGATCTTGGCCGGACGGATCTTGTGGCTGTGATTGATGCGGTGTTTTTTGTCCACGGTCAGGGGCATTTTTGTCCGATATTTCATATTTGAATTAAATGACTTTCCCTCTTTGTCCGTTGCGAATCTTTCTGTGCGTGAGTTGGATTCGGATTTTGGAGAGAGAAACTGCGAGCAGGGGGAGCAGCAGCTGAGAAACAAGGACGGCGATTCTCCATGGTTGATCGACGGCGATAGAAACTGCGAGCAGCAGCTTCGAATCGAGCTTTCTGATTCTCCATAATTGATCGACGTGTGCGCGAGTTGGATTCGGTTTTTGTAGAGAGAAACTGCGAGCAGCCGCTGCGAAACAGGGGACGGCGAATCTTTTCTGATTCTCCATAATTGATCGACGACGAGGTTAGATATTAGTTTTTTTTGATTCTTTCTGTTTAGCTAATCGAGTTTTCTGTTGATCTCTGGTTTCGTTGGAGGTTTTTCATTGCTGCTAGTCGAGCTTGTTTATGTTTAGCTAATCGAGCTTGTTCATGTGTTATGTTCTTTGTGTTTTGGTGTTTTTGCAGTATTCTGGTGAGATGAGTTACGTAAATTGTGGCGATGTTGTTCCAATTGATAGATCTGGTTCTTCAACCAGCGTTGTAGGATCTGGTTCTTCAACCAGCGTTGTAGGATCTGGTTCTTCATCTAGTGCTGTTGGAACTGGTTCTTCATCTATTGATCTTGGATTTGATCATTCAGCTAACTCTGGTGAATCAGGAGGTAAGATATACAAATTTGTTTGTTTATTGAAGTTTGTATAGTGTCGTAATTTGATTTTACCATGCCTTATCATGTGGTAATTGATTTTACAGTACATTACCATGTGGTAAAATGTGGTAATTAGGAAGTTAAATGTGATGTTTCTGTGTGATAATTGATTTTACCATGCCATACCATATGGTATAGTGTGGTAATTTGATTTTACCATGCCTTATCATGTTGTAATTGATTTTACAGTACATTACCATGTGGTAAAATGTGGTAATTAGGAAGTTAAATGTGAGGATTCTGTGTGATAATTGATTTTACCATGCCATACCATATGGTATAGTGTGGTAATTTGATTTTACCATGCCATACCATATGGTATAGGGTGGTAATTTGATTTTACCATGCCTTATCATGTGGTAATTGATTTTACAGTACATTACCATGTGGTAAAATGTGGTAATTAGGAAGTTAAATGTGAGGGTTCTGTGTGATAATTGATTTTACCATGCCATACCATATGGTATAGTGTGGTAGTTTGATTTTACCATGCCATACCATATGGTACAGTGTGGTAATTTGATTTTACCTTGCCATACCATGTGGTATAGTGTTGTAGTTTGATTTTACCATGCCATATAGTGTGATAATTTGATTTTACCATGCCATACCATGGTGGTAACTCTTGTATCATGGCTGTAATTATTGGTATACATTGAGAATTCATACCATATGTTAATATGTTGTTTCATAATGTTTGTAGGTTTCAATGGTATAGATCCTACTGTTCGTGATTCTTGGAAGGACTTAGAGTTCAATACACCAGATGATGCATATAATTTTTATGTTGATTATGGGAATCATGAAGGTTTTGGTGTGAGGATTTATAACCAATCAGCGTGTCCGAAGCTCAATGGTGGTTCTTCAGCTGTATATTATATCAAGTATTGTTGCAATAAGGAAGGTTGGAAAAGAGGTAGCGAGAATAACCCTGATAATGCAGGTGTTGTTGATACGACGGTTCGTGTTCGTAATGTTCCAGAACTCAGGGGTGGATGTAATGGTGCTTATATACGACTGAGGTGGTTTAAAGAGTTTAAATGCTACAAGATCTATCGTTGGTATAATGTGCACAACCATGACATGATTCCTGAGTCTCTGCGTCACTATGTGAGATCCAGCAGAAGAATGGCTCCTGTGTATAAGATGTTGGCAGAGGTGAATGATGCTGCTGGTATTGGTGTGACTTCTTCGTATAATGCAATTAGTAGGGCTGGTGGTGGTCGGAAGTTTGTTGGGTTCACAAAGAATGATTTGAAGAACCATATGCGAACGGTTAGGACGTCATCAATGGAGTATGGTGATGCGACTGCATTGCTTGAATACTTTAGACGTCAAGCACAGCTGGATCCTGGGTTCTTTCATGAGGTGGAGGTTGATGTTGAAGAGAACATTGCTAGTATTTTTTGGGCAGATGGGAAGATGAGGATGGATTATCATTATTTTGGTGATTCAATTAGTTTTGATACTACTTACCGGACTAACAAAGAGTATCGGACACTAGGTATGTTTTCTAGTTTGTTGTTTATTATTGTCTTTGTTAGTTTGTATGATTATTATTATTATCATTATGTATCATGTTTTTTTTTTTGTTCTTAAAAGTATTTTACCATATGGTATGTGTTGGTAACAAGGTTATTTGAGGTGGTTTTTGGGTTGTTAGAAGTTTCTACTATATGGTATGGGCTGCTATGCATTGTGTTTTTGTTCTTAAAAGTCTTTTACCATATGGTATGGGTTGGTAACAAGGTTATTTGTGGTGGTTTTGCGTTGTTAGAAGTGTGTACTATATGGTAGTCTGGTGTGGATTGTTTTTTTTTGTTCTTAGAAGTCTTTACCATATGGTATGGGTTGGTATTATTGTTATTCGTACCTTTTACCACATGGTATGTGTTGGTAGAATTGTTTTTACTCACATTTTGTTATGTTTTTGTAGCTTTGTTTGTTGGTTTCAACAATCATCACCAACTGACTGTCTTTGCGGCTGCTCTTCTATATGATGAAACAACGGCAACATTTGAATGGCTTTTCGATCAGTTTTTGAAATGCATGGGAGGTGTGAGACCGTTATCAATGTTTACTGACCAGGCTGCTGCAATTGCTGCTGGTATAAGGTCTGTTTTCCCAGATTGTTTTCATGGGTTGTGTACATGGCATATTGCTCAGAATGCAGTTGTTAATCTGGGAAGTTTGTGTGACTCTGACTTCCTTCGTGAGCTTAGTTATTTGATGTATAATGCTGATGATGAGGATGATTTTGAGTATAATTGGAAGAAGATGATTGAGAAGTGTTTTCCTGGGAAGGGACCTTTGGGACACAGTTGGTTACAGGGCATTTACAAAGTCAGGATGAAGTGGTCTTCAGCCTGGGTGAATTGTCATTTTGGTGCGGGAATGAAGAGTACCCAGCTAAGTGAGTGCTGCAATAGTAATATTCGACATTACTTGCAGTCAGAGTTTAGCGTTAGTAGGTTCTTTGTGCACTTTGAGAGGATGCTTGATAATAAGAGGGATGCTGAAGAACAAGAAGAGTACTATGCCTTATCTAGGTTGGCTGATTCTCGGTTTTCTACTAGCCCTATTGTGAAGCAAGTTGCTAATGTGTATACGCCGAAGATATTCAAGTTTTTCCTGGATCAGTACAAGGAATCCCTTGCGTATAATATTTTTTCCAATACGGAGATAGAACGAGAAGGACATGTAGGACTGTTTGATGTCTTCATATTGGAGGATGAACTTACAAGGTTGGATAGTAGGGTGTTGAAGGTTGATTTTGAAAACGGTGAAATCAAGTGTTCCTGCCGTAAGTGGGAGTCAAGTGGTATGATCTGTAAGCATCAAATTAAGGGATATGATATGTTGTGGTCTACAACATGCAATCTGAAGTTCCAGCACATTCCTAGCAGTTTGATTTTGAAGCGGTGGACAAGGGCAGCGAAAACTGGAGGGAACTTTTCTTTTGAAGTTCCGTCTACTGATAGTCCATCGAAATACCGTTCTCGTCTTTTCAATCTGTCAGCTGTTTCTGCATCAATGATCAGCATGGTTTCATTGGATGATGATTTGTATAAATCAGCCATTGTCTTCATGACTGATTTGATCAAAAAGTGTGAAGCCTTATCGATTACTGAACCTGCTGGAACAAGCACGTCTTCTAACGGTGACAGTAAGTTTTTAATTAATTGTTTAGAGTTTGTTTTTGTTTTTGTTATCTGTCCTTGATTGTAGTTTGTTTTTGTTATCTTGGTATAGATGATGTACCGCTCCAAAAAGTGAAGGGGTTTAAGCCTAAAAAAGATTCATTCAAGCCTTCGAAACGACCAATTCCAGTTGCGGAGGCTGCAAGGGCTGTAAGTAAGAAGAAGAGAAAAACTAGCAGGCTTGAGGAGGAGAATTTGAAGGCTGTTGAAGAAAGTTTAAGGCTGAAGCTGTAATAGTTTTCTTAGAGGATTATCTGAATGAATGGTTGATGCTGGTTGAGTTGTTGAAGCTATTTTGTTCTTTTGGATTGGTTTTTGGTTTTGTTGGATTAATTTTACAATGTTATACCATGTGGTATAATGTGGTAATTTGATTTTATCATGTCAAACCAGGTGGTAAAATGTGCTAGTTTGGAAGTTGAATGTGAAGGTTCTGTTTTATAATTGATTTTACCATGCCATACCATATGGTATAGTGTGGTAATTTGATTTTACCATGTGGTAATGTGTGGTAATTGATTTTACCATGTGGTAAAATATGATATTTTGGAAGTGGCATGTGTGGTAATTGATTTTACAGTAAATTATCATGTGGTAAAATGTGGTAATTTGGAAGTTAAATGTGAGGGTTCTGTGTGATAATTGATTTTACCATGCCATACCATATGGTATAGTGTGGTAATTTGATTTTACCATGCCATAGCATATGGTATAGTGTTGTAATTTATTTTTACCATGCCAAACCATGTGGTAAAATATGGTATTTTGGAAGTGGTATGTGTGGTAATTGATTTTACAGTGCATTACCATGTGGTAAAATGTGGTAACAAA